AGGATCATGATGATGATGATGAGCGATGTTGCTGCCGACGATGATAACGACGACTATGAGGAGGAGGGGAGGATGAGTGGTTTTGGTTCTGACAATGCTGGTGGTGATTTTGATGATAAAGGTGATGAGGTATGGTGGTGATGGTGATGATGATGACGAGTATGCTGATGAGGATGATGAGACGGATGAGGATAATGGATGATGAGGAGGCCGAATATGATGATGTACGATGATGCAGACGATGATGATTAGGACGATGGGGAGGAGAGAATAAGATGACGATGAAACTTTTGATGATGAGGAGAATGAGGGATGCTGCTGATGATGATGGTGATGATAACGAAGCTAATGATGATGACGACGATGATGATGGTGATGATGATGGTGGTGATGATACTGATGGTGATGATGATTAGGAGGAGGGGCGATGACAATGAGGATAATTAGGAGGAGGAGGGATGACGATGTTGAGGAGGAGGAGGAGGAGCAGAACGAGGAAGAACGGGGACAGGAGGAGGAGGATGAGAAGGGGAGCGAGGAGGGCTGACAGCGCGAAGAGCAGTCGCCACGGACCGTCCAGCTGGTCCAGCTGGTCCGGCCAGCTGCTGTGTATCCCCGCGTTCTTACCGCCCCTCCCCGTTCACATTCTTCCATCCTTTGTTTTTTCCCCCTTCGTCACACTTCAGTCCTTCAGTATCCCGTCCTTTCTTGTCCCCCCTTTCGCATCTCCCCTTCCCTTCTCTCTTTGCTTGCATCGCTCCTTCCTCCGTCCCTCCTTCCCCCCCTCGCTCTCCTCTCCTATCCCTCCCTCCTCCCATCCTTCCCTCTCGCCTCACCTCCATTCGTTTTTTCCTCACTTCCTACTCGCCCCTCCCTCCTCCCCCCATCCCTCCCTCCTCCAGCCTCCCTTCCTCCCTCCCGCGTCGCTCGACTCTTCAGCAGGCTGTAAGAGTCCACGGTCTCCCAAGCTGCGTTGTCCTCCCTCCCTCCTCCCCTCTCCCCCTCCTCCGATCCCTCCCTCCTTCCTTCCATTCTTCCTTGCTACCCTCCCTCCTTCCTAACTCTTTCCCCCGATACTCCATGAATACACCCTCGAGGACTCAACCGTCTCTCAATGCTGTGATGAGCAGACGACGCTGTTGTGTGGGTCGATAAGGGGTCGGTGTAGGACAACGAGCAAACGAATGAGCATGACTTGAGCAACTAGCACCAGAGTCGTAATTGTATGAGTACAGCTCGGGACACCATTGATAGACCTGGTATGCTCGAATGCACGCTACACCCGTGCACCCGAGCAAGCTCATGTCAGGAGGTGCCGCTCGAAAAAGGGCTCCCGCGCGCGAAAACAGCTCACGCCACATAGTCTTAAATGTCACCCCCACCCCCCAGCCCCCTTTTGCGCGCGAGGTGGGAGGAAAGAGAAGGGAGGAAGTAGGAGGGTGTATGAGGAAGGAGAAGGAAGAGGGGAAGGAGGGGGAAGGGGAAGGAGGAGAAGGAGGAGAAGGAGGAGGAGGAGAAGGCAGGAGGAAGACGTCTCATGACGCTCGTCCCCCAGGCTGCTTCTTGATGAACAAGGACCAGTTCACGGACTTCCTGCATAGCCCCATGTGGGACTACCATAAGGCCGCCCAACTGGGGCCACCGGGCGGCTTTCCGCGCCCCCCACTGCAACTGCGCTGGCGGCGATGATGGTGACGACGACGACGACGACGACGACGACGACGACGACGACGACGACGACGACGACGACGACGACGACGACGACGACGACGACGACTGCGACGACGACGCCGACGACGACGACTGCGACGGCTGCGTCGACGGCTCGAGGGCAGGGCGAGGGGAGTGAAAGGGAGAGGGAAAGGGAGGAGGAAGAGGAGAAAGAAGGGGAGGGAGGAAGAGTGGAGGGGGAGAGGGGAGAGGGGAGCGAGGAGGAGATGGGGGGGGGAACGCGGAGGACTGTGAGGATGAGGAGGAAGAAGGGAAGGAGGAGGCAGATGAGGAGAGAGAGAAACGAGAAAAGAGAGGATGGAGAGGAGGAGTGAGGAGGATGCGGGGAAGGAGTGAGGAGGATGCGCTCCCCAGAAGGGCTCTGCCCTCCGAGGGAGTCCGAGATGCGTCCCTCGCCCCCGGCGGAGGCTCGATGGAAGGTTGGCGGAGGGCGGGCGGGAGCAGGGCGGGAGCGACCCCGCCAGCGGAGGCCAGAGGAGATTGGGCGGAAGCCGGGAGGAGGCAGAAGCGGACCCCCCGAGAGCGGTCAATGCTGAGGAGGGGGGGGAGGAGGAGGTGGGGAGGTGAGGAGGTCAGGAGGAGAAGGAGGAGGAGGAGGAGGAGGAGGAGGAGGGGGAGGGGGACACCCAGAGCCTCGGAGTCGTCCGAGAGAGTGCCCCGCACATCGGTGTCCTGTCGATGGCGGTAAGACCGTCCGGCATCGGCTTTCGATGTTGTTCATGCTGGATGTCGGTGGCCACTGCCTCCCGTCTCTCCTTCGTCTCAGCGT